TTTCACTGATAATTCAATTAATGCAAACATTAGCTACAAGCGTCGGCAACACTTAAAGCCGACAAAGAGAGACAAAAAGAGAGCAAAGTATCTGTTTACTGGGAAATGTATCTTATCTCTCGTTTTTTTTTCGTTATTTATCAGGTAACTTGTTGTTGTCGCCTTTCGCGAGGCTCGAGAATTCGTTGCTTGTCTTACATTTAATTACAAATTGCATTGGCATTGTTTGTACACAATTTTCTTATGTTTTCTTTACGACATTTCTCATTACAGAGGAGCAGGAACGTGTGCAGAAGAAGACATTCACTAATTGGATTAATTCATACCTATTGAAGGTGAGTTTTTGCGTCTCTCTCAATGTCTTCGTATCAGTTCAATCGATGCGAAGCAGAATATTTATCTACATTCTCTGGCCGTGAGATTTGCATATCGATTGCGAATTAGTCAAGAGCAATAAAATAAAAAAAATAAAAAAACGTGCGAAATCGTAGCACGACCCTGAAAAAATTGAATTGCGTGCTAAATTTTTGATTAATAAATAAAATGAAATGATTTCATTCTGTTGAGAACGTAGTCAAGATACGCTTTACCCAATTCCCAATTGGCCAATGCCAAGTGCAGTTAGAACTGCTACCGTCTTCTAGCCCACTTTCACCTCGCCAACGTACGTATATGTATATCCTTTCTAATTTAAACACCTAACAGCGCCAATTTGGCCAGCCAATCCATTCACTTTGTTAATTGCCAAGACAGCTCAGACGATTTACAGCTGACAACTGAGAGGCGTTTACAGCAAGTGGTCTGACAAGCTGGGATAGTTAATGCAGCTTTGAGATGTACAAATATATTAGCACCAAGTCTGAGTTTTAGAGAAGACATATAATGTCAAACAAGAAGGCAGTCTATATATATCTAGTGTATATAAATGATAAATTTATATAAAGCCGACTCAAATATTGTTTGTCATTGAAGTTTAACAGCTGATCGTAATAGATATGCACTCGATATATGTACATATATCAAAACTTTGGAATTACGCTCTTTTTCACACACCCTTCATTAAAATTATTTTAAATAATTTTTATAGCCAGTTTGTAGCTTTTTTTAGGCATGACACAGCCCATTGATGCACTCATGATATTAGGAATGCAATATTATGAACAAGCCTGCTAAATGCAAAGCAAATACAAATGTTTAGTTGAACTCAGCCGACTGCATAATACTCGCTCAAAGTTCAAAATGAGTTAAATTGTAATTTATAGTAGAACAAATTAATATTTTTGGGTATTTTCTTGCGTTAGTTAATAAATAAATCTATTCGTAGGATATAGATATAAATGAAATAAATAATGCAATCCATTATTAGGCTCTGGGAAACTCTGGAGTTTCTATTTTTTTTTTCGCACTCTCATTTGAGATAAGTATTACTTATAATACTTATTAAGTATATGTCAAAATTAATATATATTCCAATCTCTTATTACTCAAATAACTTTTAGCATTGTAATTTCTGAAGGTACCAACAACTATATATTTCAAATTGTAGCTCTCGCAGTGATTTGCTTCTCTTTTATAGAAATAGATGAACGAACAGCAAGACATAAATTTCAGTAAACCAATGTACTCTTTTCGCTTGGTAAACAAAATATAAGCGATTTGTTCCACGGTTCATATTCAATACATAAAACAAGTTTACCACATCTCAGAACTTTGTATATTATTGGTCAAAGTATAAAAAATGAATTATTCAATTTGAAATTTATATTCAAAAAGTAAAAATCTCTATAAAAGAAATTTGTGTAAATTGGAAGCTTTAGCCAAAATTGGAATTTACTAAACATATTTTCGGTCCATGTCACGCCCATTTATATATATGGCTGGACAATAATAAATATGAATTGATTATATGGCAGCTCATTCATTTAATATAGCTTCATTCCATTCAGAGTAAAAAGCCAAATTGTCATTACAGGTATTAATCTGTGAGTCGACCAAGTCTGTTTGCAGCCTCATCTTAAAACCTGTTGCCAGCTGTTAATCTAACAAACCTTAATGACAGCGCTAACGCAAATTTGTTTAAATTTTAGTAGACCCTCAATAAATTAAAACTGAATTATACTGCACTGCACGTACCCACAACAACAACAACAACAATAACAACCTGAGTTAAAGCGAATCATGCTCGTGCCTGGCTATAGAGCTGTCAGCCGGAGGCTGAAAAAAAGGCCAGATTCATGCCGAAATATGTCGGCAACTGGGAATGTGACAGGCGTGCGATGCTTTGCTATTGTTATTGTCATTGTTGTGCTTGCCTTTGAGCAGCGCATGAATTAGTTAATAAATTTTAATCAAATTCCGTGAACAATGACCACAGTGCGTATTCGGGTCGTCAACTGAATGAATGACTGACTGACTGACTGACTGAGTGGCTTACTAACTGACTGAGTGAGGGAGAATGACATAACTGGTTCACCTTGAACTGAAATAGTTACAGAAGAAACAAAACTGGAATTTGGTTGTGGGATACGCCCATTTGTAGGCAGTTTCTACAATTTGTTTGCCCGAAAGAAGAAGTACTAGCTAATATCTAGCAGCTAACACGGCTAAACCCACGTTGCTGGGCGCAAATTGACAGCTGCTCAATATGTTAGGCAAATACAAATTCAATAAATTACTTTTAGTTAGCGCATTGACAATAGACAGCATTCTGCTCAGAGGCATCGACAATTTCGAGTTTTACTCTCGATGAAATGTGCTAATCAAGTGTTGTGCAATTGCAAAAAAAAAAAAGTAGTCATAAATGACAAGAAATAAGCAAACATTGAACAAATTGTTGTCGTTGTTGTTGTTGTTTCGCATATTAAATGATTCATTTGCATATTGCATAACGGACCCAGCTCAACAACTCTGCAGTTGGCTGAAATATGACTTCAATCAATGATCTCATGAACAGCCCACGCCTATTTCATTTAAAGGTTTCCCCATTTCCTTGACACGTCTGCAATAAATTTGAGTGTTGCCAACTTTTTAGCCGGTGAAAATTTAGCTAAATGAGAAGGAATTACAAGATTTGGCTTTTTAAGAGCTAAATTGGAGATAACATAAGATTGGATTTATGTATATGTTCATAGATATGTTATAGACTTTTTTTTAATTACCCCTCAAGTTATCATCTTGTTTCATTGTTTAATTGTAGAAATAACTTGTTAAGCCTGTCTACCATTAATCATAGCTGGGAGAAGTACTTATAGGCGATTCCATTTTGCTGTCAGAAAAGAGGCTTAACATTTATTTAAAATTATTTTTAAAAGAATTGTAGGATATATATTGCATAACAGTGTATTAATGGCAATGATGTAATGGTTTTTATATGAATAAACAATAATCCAATTAGGAATTCTGTAAATATGCTATGTAGTATAATGTTAAAGTATCGCTTCATGTCAGCAGTGTGTCTTAAAATTAATTATGAAGAAATGAAAACATCGTTATAGATCATCAATTTATATAGACTTGAATAAATGAATGTTGTTTATATACATATAAGATTATATATTGTTATAAAAGTCTATTTAAACACCTTAAGCTGATAGATTTACTCATAGATCTACTTAACTCCTTGCAATATATTGGCATGATATATTATGTAACATAGATGTTGGTAGTTGACTACTAGGTGAACTCTGGTTCGCATTTCGATTCCCCGGCCAGAACAGATAAATAGCTCAGCATTAGCTAATTGCCATAATACTTCCATATATCATACCTTCTGAATATGTACAGTAATAGTTTATTTTTGGCTTCTTTTTCGAATCGATAGTCTGCACAGCTTTTTTCTCAGCACTCATAGATATTAATAAGTCTGGAGGACTACACAGCTTTTCCAGATATCACACCAGGTATTTCACACGCAGAAATTCGTAGCATTTTCGTTAGCTTTCCAATGCCGATTGCCAGTCAATAGGCTGAAAGGGAACGGTGCTTGGCTCAGCACTGGCTGTATGTATCTGCGACTCCTTTTATTGCCAGTCACTTTGTCGATTTGAGCGCTTTACGAGTATGGCCGGCTTTCCGGCTGCGCCTTATCGAGTGCCCGCAATGCCCGCACTGGCATGCAGAGCCCGAAGAACTGGTTTTTATGGCCGGCCGGCAAAATGTTGTAGTACATGTGCTCAAGCGCAAGCGATACACGAAAAAATAAAATTAAGAAATGCCGGCTCACGTCTGCAGATTGAAGTTGTATTAAAAGATAACACATTAGAGACCACAGACAACGTATCTCTCGCTCCCAGTGGAGTGCTCTACGGAAAAGTGCATTAAATCAACGTTCGCTAGCCCGAAAGTAAGTCAGTGGGCGTTGCATATTGTTGCGTGGGTAGCCCATGGATTGTGCGGACTAATGGCAGCAGCTGCCACTGCCACTGCCACTACCAAGTCGAGCTGCGCCAGGCCAAGACTTCTTTCTGGCCGGGCCACACATGCAACGGAATTGCTGCTGTCATTAATGCAGCATTGTTGCTCCACTCAGCTCCCAGCACCACTTTTTTTTTCTGTCGCTTGTTGTCTTTCGTTATTCGTTATTCTTTATAGGCCAACGCCTGTCTGGCTATGAACTTGGCTAGCACGTAGCCATTTCTTGAGCATTTTGCATGCCTTGAACCACACTCGCACTTCATGTGGCCATTGGGCTTTGCGGAATTTCTCGCATTGGCAAATTCCATGAACGTCTTAGGTTAGGCACGCACCACCGTTGACTTTAAGTTATTCCCAGAAAGAACGCACAGTAGACAATGGCAAAGAGCTATAGGAAAACAAACAAACAAGAATGGTTTGTCTACCCAGATGCCAGCTCCCTGACTCTCTTAGACGCTACCTATTTATATTCTACCAAGGCTCAAACTCGTAAACAATATAAGTAGGAGGCGTGCGACATCTATTTTTATGCGCAACAAATATTGTGCTCCCAGTATTTACTGTTGGATATAACTAACGCCAAAAGAAATACTTGTCAAATATAAATATAGCTTCAAGCCTCATCCTATGTGTGTATTATGTTTCAGCAGACTTTTCTTGTCTTTTCCAAGAATTTTGCTTTAATGTATTTTCTATACCAATTACGCGCACGTCAAGACATTTTAATATGTGTTTATATTACTTTTAGATTTTGACTTAAGCCTTGATTAGGAATATGTATCTGCTTAGTTTCATTTAAGAAGCTGTCTAGACTGAAACTTTCCTCTACATTTGATTGATTGATTGAAATTTCATGTTGTAAATTTAGCAAAGAGATGAAGAGTCGGGAGTGATAGGAGATACCCTGAAGCCATGCGCTAGAGCTGCCATCGAATCGTTCAACATTTCTTTCACAAATAAAAATTAAATAAAAAATAAATAAAATAAAAATGAGATAAATTAAACAAAGAACATGTAATTTACCCAGCTGATTTTCCAACACTTTTACTTTGACCAAATGAAAGTTTTGCAAGTCATTTTACCAATTTCTACCACATCCACAATGCTAATTTCTTTATTTATGTTTCCCCACAAAGTTTTCTGACAAATTGAATTTTCTTCAAAAATCCATCCAGATATTCCCAGTTATAAAACCAACATATGTACTATAAACATAAAGAATCAACAAAAATTGTTAATAGTTTAGTGTAAGCAAAAAGTTAGCATGAAACATGACAAGACAAAAAGCAAAAAGCTGTTATAAGAGTTTGACATGATTGCCAGACAGCACTATAAATTCTGTTGAGAAGTGCAAAGAGAGGCGTTATTGCTGCGAAACGAGCGGAAATACAGAAATTGAATTCGCATTGTATGCAGCATAGTTTCTTGAATAGTTGCACCAACTTTCCGGCCAAACAGCTCCAAGTAGACAAAACTTTTGCCGTCATTTGCATGTCCGCAACAGTTGAGGCCAAGTTTTCGCAAACTATTTGCCTTGATATAGGTGAAGTCGCATATGCTGTGCAGCCGAGGCTCAATTAAATTGTAAACTCAAATGATAATAGCTGTTCGGCGGTCATGATTTCTTTAGTTTTACCTTTTCGATTGTGGTCGTTGCCATTTCCGTCGTTATGCCATTAACTTAAATTGCAATCTTTGCGGTGAATCCGGCTTAAATGGTCGCGCGTGCCACTCGACAATTTGTCTGGCACGGCAAGAGTTGAATAAATTAGCGCCGTGCTCAGATATATCAACAATTTAAATTAATTTAATGTGATTTACGTTAATTATTTAGCTAGACTTTTTCGGGCATTTCTTGGCGACAAATTCGTCTGCTGCAATTGATTAATTAGACGAAAAGGCAAAAGTGTTTTCAGCATTTGGCGCTGCATACATTATTGATCATGCCAGTCATATATCTCGATCTCATATATACTTCTATATATATATATATATAAATCTATTTCTGTATATTCATTATGCACACAGTTAATGTGCTCATAAAAAGCCCATTAAATGTTGCAGCCAAAGGCACTTCAAAGTCGGTGTTGA